GTCCGCGGTGCTGGCAGTTCGGTGAAAGCGATGTGATAGAGGCCTGATTACTGCGCAATGTCAGTGCAAGTTAAAGAAAACTAGGTGGTATAAATTTACGGAGCCCTCTTCTAGGGCGTCTCTCGCAATCATATTGTGGTTCTGTGGCGTGAAATCCAAGATAATAACTAATTGCGGGGGTATGATAAGGTAACAGATATATGTCAGTTTTAATGTAATATTTTACAAGGGCCTGCAAGGAGGTATGATAGGGTAAGAGGTAGATGCCAGTTTTATTGTAATACTTTAAAAGCGCCTGCTAGAGGGTATGATGAGGTAAGAAGTACATGCCAGTTTTAATGTAACATTTTAAAAGCGCCTGCTGGGGGTATGATGGGGTAAGAGGTACATGCCAGTTTTAATGTAATATTTTACAAGCGCCTGCAAGGCGGTATGATAGGGTAAGAGGTACATGCCAGTTTTAATGTACTATTTTAAAAGCGCCTGCTAGGGGGTATGATGGGGTAAGAGGTATATGTCAGTTTTAATGTAATGTTTTACAAGCGCCTGCAAGGAGATATGATTGGGTAAGAGGTATATGCCAGTTTTAATGTAATATTTCAGAAGCGCCTGCAAGTATTCACGTAAAATTTCCCATGCTCACGAAGAATACCATTGGGTATCACGTGATAACCTTTTTTGATGTCTACGTAGTCCATACTTCCTACGGCCTACTCCCAAAAACTAAGGTGGGTTCACTTGTACAATGTGCACACCTTTTCTGTACGAACACAAAAAAAAATGTAATAATATTTAGCCGTGTTATCCGAGATACACGTAGCTACGTGTATCTCAAATAACACGGCTGTATATAGATACCACCTCGGTTATATCTGAACTGAAAATAAAAAAAAAGTTCGAACAAGTTTTATCGCAATAGATTCAGTACGTTTAGAGAAAAGGTACTGAATTGTACGTTATTATTTCCTACGTTTCGGCCGGGATCCAATGTATTCATACATTCGTCCGCTCGAGCCAATCTTTACTTATCCCTGGATAAACAGAATACACTCACCTAATATATATATATATATATATATATATATATATATATATATATATATATATATATATATATATATATATATATATATATATATATATATATATATATATATATACGTTTATACTATGACAGTGACCGACCCCACAGAATCCGGAAAATGTTATATATGTCAAGGTCAAATACTAGCAGGCGGAGCAAGCTGATGTAAAAGAAATTAGGAAAATAATAATAATGGGCTGGCTGGCGCGCAAACAGTCATATCTCACCTCAAAACCTGTCACTTATTCACTGTCTCTGATTTGTTCAATCACTCCATTTTTCGCCAGTTCCCACACATATCGCAAGAAGCTTGGCGAACTTCAAAGAAATTTGACAAGTGGTGGACCCCACAGCGTGTGATGGAAAAAAAAAATTGACGTAACACGAAAATTATAGGAAAAGAGCGGATTGGATTACTGACCAAGCCAGGGCAACAGGTATTCCACTCATATTACAGGACAAGAAATGTGAATTGTTGCTGATCTCGAGAAGCACAAATAACCCATAGTAAGTCAGAGAGGCTGAACACCACGAGGCAGGAAGTTAGGCAGAGGATGACACTGCGTTTTTCCAGGGATGCAATTTAAAAGTTTTGGTGTTTTATAATGATAATTCTGGCTGCTTTGGAACCATTTCTTCCGATGTTTCGGCCGGGGACCATCCACCGCGGAGGAAAAGATCGGTCCCCGACCGTAAGGTTATATATATATATATATATATATATATATATATATATATATATATATATATATATATATATATATATATATATATATATATATATATATATATATATATATAGAGAGAGAGAGAGAGAGAGAGAGAGAGAGAGAGAGAGAGAGAGAGCACTTAGCGGTTTTCTTAATCTTATTTCCCAACGCTGGTGGACCGGTCTTGGTCTTCGTCAGGGTTCATGAAAAAACTGCGATAGCGTCGCACTGGCTCATACACCCTAACGAAGACCGGTCCACGGGCCCTAACTGCTGGGAGATAAAACTAAGGCAACCGCTAAGTTGTGTCCATTTTCCACCAAGTACGTCTGGTCCATTCGAAAAGCTTCTTCATAGTATATGATACCAGGTTGGATAACAGAGCCCCCAATAATCAAATAACTGTTTACATTTGCTCCTAATGTTAAAATTCATTCGTTCTGGTATTTTTGTAATGGCAGAGACAATTTTCTGGATACAATATTGGGAAGTCTGATTTATAGCGTAGACGGATGAAACGACTTTGTTAATGATTTGAAAAGTACATAAAATACATTCCATTCAACATCCTTAGAAATTTGTAGCAGACACTTAGAATATGCAAAGGACTTCAGGTGTCTCTGATAACCATATGGTGGTTTTCGGACGTTAAGCCCCACATATCAATCAATCAAACGACTTGTGACTTCCCCCCGTGCTGTTCGAAAATTTGGATTTGTTTTGTGATCTTACATTTGTGTCATGGGAACGGAGTAGCCAGTGCCATTAAGGACACCACAATATATACCTATAAACCATTTCGGCAACAAAGAGAAAATACTTGTCTGCTTCACAGATAGAACACAGAAGATGTGATTCAATGTAGGGTAATATAACGATTTTAGGGGACGAATTGCTGGATTAACCGCCCACGAAGTGGCAATGTGCACTTGGTAAGACCCGTTCGCGGTAAGCCGAGAAAAAAAAAATCTCAAAATAGTCGATACATTTCGATCCATCTTATTCCACACATATTATTTCGGCTAGCGGAGAGTACGAATTATAGACGACTCGCACGCATAGCGGCAACATTACTGCAATTAGGAAACCATACTAAATTTTGTCTAACGTGCGGCCGAATACAGATACAAACTGCCAAGCGACCTATTTCCCACCGCTACTACTAACTCAAATAAAAATGCTGTCGTGACCTCCGAAGCCTACAAAGATTTTGCCGGTCGTTGCCAGCGCCTGCATGAACACGTGCACAAACAAATTCAATATAAAAAAAAATCTGCTCCACAAGCGGTGACAGCCAACACGGCCCGGCCAATAAGATCCCCAGCGCTAAACCACGAAGTCACAGTTTTAACGACCGAATGCCGGTCAACGCAGGGCGAAAACCACGCCGCCGCTCGCCATTTTGTTTCCGGTAATGCAACCCGCGCGTGTAGGTGGCGTTGGCCGTGCCCTGCCTTTCTGGCGGTGCCAGCGGGAAAACTGGAAGCAACAAGTAAGTTCGCCCGTGTAGGTTCCCAGTCGCAATGAAACTAAACGCACTCGGTCCGTTGAACATGATTGATGCAAGAAGCTACACAGACCTAGCTCCCGGTGATGAGTCACACGATTCGCTACCGGGCATTTTTCTTGGCCGGTCGCCGGCCGGTGGTGCACGTACGTACATGTCTCGCATTTCCGAGATACCGCAGGAATTTCTGTTCTGACATTTGCACAGAACGTGGACCTTCACCATTCATTTCGCCTCCTTGGAAGTGCGACCGTCACGGCGAGGATCGAAGCGGCGACCTTCGGGCCAGCAGCTGGGCACCGAAACCACTGACCCCACAAGTGGACGAACAAGTAGCAGACATTATGCGCAAAGCTCGAGGGTTCGATTTGCGTCCGCGGCGTTCGCATTCACACGAGACCGAAATGCGATAGCGACTCGCGTATAGGCAACATTTGGGTACATATGACCGCAAGTGAACGAAACTAATCAGGAATCCGCTCGCTATATACGGTGTGCACCATGATCATATCGCTAGTTTAGCCGGTAATACCCCCCCAAAAAAGGATTAACTGTTAAAGTTGATGACACAATGGGTTAGCAATGCACACTCGAACAAGACGTCTGTCGGATCTCAAACACTTCTCGCGAGTCCTTAATTCCGCCTACCATATATTATAATCCATACCGACAAGCTGAACCTTTGATCACCTAACTAGTTGATCAACTTTTGCATGTGCTGTTGGGACGACGAATACTAGGCGAAGTATTGAGGTCGATAGCAAACACATGGCGTGCGTTCGCCACTGTCTGCGACATTTCTCCACCCAACTGACGAATTCACGCTTTCGATAGGTCAATCTATGAATGAATCGCAGACAGGCTAGCCTGGCCACCTGTAGTAATGTGTGCCTTGCGTTGAGTGCTAGTGTCAAATATGTCGTATGTGTGGGTTAAAATATTCGTGCTTATGATTTCTATTTGTAAGCTTCATGGCGAACGTCATTGATGTCACCCGATTCACAATTAGTTTTTTTATTATTATTTGTAAGCGAAGCGTCATTACGAATAACTGCAATGTTGCCAACCGTAATGTGTGTCTGTGAAGAGGTAGTAAAGCCATGCGTCTGAAGTAATGACTCCCTCCTCCGGAAGCATATCTATTTCCTGCTACAGCTTAATGAGCGCCAGAAGAAGAGAAGCCTTCCGCACACGAACGCGATAAAGCAGTTTGTCAAATTTCATCAGAAAAAAACAAAGACCAGCAAAGCTGTGATTACAAACGAAGAATATTTTGCCACTTTGGGACAAAATATCAGTTTTAGCGATGACACGTTTTATTTATTTCTCGCAATAGCGAACCGCTGGCGCAAACGGCACTGTACTGAATGAGCCTCCCTGAGGCACCCTAAAAGAACAAGCTGATGAGTATTTTTTAAAGGAAAAATACTGATTAAATTTCGGAATACAAGAGGACCTGTAGTCCTTGGCGATCGCTGCCGGTGAAGCGAAAATTCGACAGCGAGCGAGACGGGCGGTTGCGCGGCGATACATGACGTTCTGGCCCGACCATCCCGCTACCGCTCACGCGATAGTTTCGTACACAAGCGGTTAAAATGCTCACGCAGCCTTGTGACAAATCCAGGGATCCATGCGAAGCGTACAAGCGAAAAAGCAATAACCAGGTCAAACCGTTAGGAAGGCTTTTCGGTACACTCACCAAAGTCATTTTGATGGGATAGACAGAGGGCTCGAACGGGGCCCTCAAAATCACCAGGGTTGCCAGGGCAAACGGGTGATATCCTTATTCGTCATCAAAAATGTGTCACGGGCATCCACACACGCCGCAGTTTGTAGTGACGAGGGCACACGAACACCGATGATATAAAAAAAATGAAGGAAGCGTAAACTGGGACGGCGACGACAATGAGAACACTGCTCAGTGCAGCTCTTCTCGTCACGGGGAAAAAAGAACCTGAAGTGCTCAGAATTCCTCGGGGCTCTACAGCACAACACAAATGGACACACAGCACCAATCACAGTACGGGCGAGAAATATTGTGGCAGCATCACACCAGGTCAATGCATGCAGTCAGCCGTAATGGCAGCCTCCATACCAGCTGCTGACAAAATCGTAACGTGGATTGGTCAGGAGAGAGGGGGCCGGTGGTTGCACGCACTGACAGAATTTCGACCACGTCGGAGGCACCGGGACTTCAAGGCTCGGAGGCCGAATAGCGAATCCTAATCACGACACACCGAAGGCGACCAAGGTTTCAGTGACGTCAAGGCGAGCGAATCAGGCTTACGAGCCGTCAATCAGCCCGGTAGGCCTGTCCATCATACCGGTGGTCTGTCAGCGAAGGAAAGAAAAAAAGTTCCGTGCACTGCGAAGGCGCTGAATTGCCGACAACGTCGCAGCTTGGGGGGGTGTTCCAGGCAAACCGAGAACTATCGGCGCTAGCAGACGACGCGAACGGCGAGTGCTCCGACGTGCTAGCAGACGACGCGACCGAAAGAGAGGCGAGCGCGCTCGCACACACGCACGCACGAGGAACGAACCGATGCGGGGCAGACCAACGCTAGGAGAAGGCGGGAGGGCGGGCGGCGTTCAAACGCGCCTCTCTCTCGCTCTGTCTGAGAGCGCGTGTGTGTGTGCGTGCGAAGGGGGAGAGCAAGCGCGGCGGCGCATGCACCCGAGAGAAACTTGTTTACGTGCACACACAGACAAACAGATCCGCGCGTGGAACGACAGAAGGAAGGAGCGTCCGCGCGAAAGTAGAGAACACACGCGCGCTCGCGACGCGCTGTGAGAGAGGGCAGATCGCTCTGCGCCGCCGGCAACAACGACGGCGAGGGAGCACAAAAAACAAAGAAGAGAGCGAGGCCAGGAACAAGAGAAGGTGCAATGAATGACGACGAGGAGAGGGAGACGATCATACACCGGCTGTTCGCTGTAGCGAGTAACTCCCGGGGGGAGACACGCAACTCGCCAGCCTCGCTTGTGGAGAGAAGGGTGCAGCAAGCTGTTTAGTAAACAACCTCGCTAAATTTAGCGGGTTGCGAGGTCCCAGGCCGCGCCGGACCGGCAAACAACGTTGGGAGCACACGCGCCGAACCTCTCTCGCTCGGCGCTCGCTAGTAACTGCTGCTCTTCGCTTCTCTCACGTACAACTTCAAGACACTCGCCTTCAGACTCTCATCCTCTCTCTCGCTCTGTGATTCTTCTCTGTTACGTATTCCGCCCTCCCCTTGCTTGTGGCCCTCACTATCACTTCTCTTGGTTCTCATTTTTTCTTGACTAGGAGGGGGAGGGGGCGCTCGCACTCACAGCCTCCTCACCCCCCTTTATGCTGCCGTGCGACCCCCGCGCGAGCAGCTAGCTAGCAACCTCGATATGTTTCCAGCAATAGCCGCCGCTGTGGCGCTGCGCCGATTCGGAGGAAGGTTGAACAAACAATGCCGAGAGGAGGTGGTAGCAAACGCAGAAAGGACGAAGAAACAAACAGGACGACCAAACAGAGGCACACATGCAACAGAAAACAAAGGACAGCTGACAAGGTCCGTTCCGGCTATGTCCTAGTCTGGTCCAGCCGCGCCTCGCAACAACCCCCTCCACCCCTACTTCGACCACCACATCCTCTCTCATTTTAGTCAGATGAAGTAGCAAAACAAAGGAGCGGAAGGAAACTTGTTTCATTTTGTAGTTGATGTTCACGCTTCGGTTCTGGTATCTCACTCAGCCCAGCGCCGCCTACGCACAAACAACGCCGCGCCATTCGCAACCCCACCCAACCCTGGTGTCTTTTTCGACTCGGCCTGTGTAAACAAGGCGGCCCGTCAAAGGCTGCATCGGATTCGTGGTGGCCCTACGCACGACTGCGGAAGCCCGGGGTGGGACGGACTCCGTAAAGTCGGCGACAGAACGTCACTCACAGCATGCATATATGCATTTTTTTTTTCATTCGTAGTTTCCTCTGCATAAGTTGAGATGTCATAAACCACCTGTTGATGCTACCGCTGTATGTACTCTGCCACACTGGTGCGTACTAGCATTTCTCAGTGCTCGTTCACATTTCTACTTCTCCGTCTAATATTAGCCAATGCTAGACCCGCACACACAGACCCCACCGGTCACCTCGACTCGCGCTTTCATGCACCTACGGATGTTCCTAATGACAATGTTCTTGAAATGTAGTGATTGCAGTGTTTGTAGGACGTTACGCTGCGAAACCACGCCATGATCGTTAGACGTACGAGCTGCAATGGATGGCACCACAACATATTTCTTTTTTTACCAGAAGAGATACCTTAGTTTAACCTAAATACGGGAGCATGTAAGCGCTCCCGTGCACCTGAGTCATATCGAATGCGAGAGCCACAGTATACCTCGAGAAAGCAACCTATCGAGGTCAGCCCTACAATGCTGGCTTCACCGGTTCTCCTTCTCCTATCTGCTCTTGCACTCGGTAGCGTTCCCTCATGCAAAAATGGCAAACAACTGACCCAATAACACTCGCTTCCCACCACCAACCAACACAGTCTCTCACTCAATCATGCACCATCACTAGCTTATGTACTCAGCACGCACTAGCAAACTCTCTCAATCTCTGAAAATGGCTCATGGACTCACTAAGCCCGTTGGCCGACTCACGTGCACACTAGCACTTACGCGTATTTTCACTCACAGAATATCAAACTCACTCGCTCACAAGCCGTAACTCGTGCTCTCGCTCCCTCACTAAGTCATTCGCTCACTGGTGCACTTGGTCATCCAATGCGTTCCCTCACTAGCCTAATCACTCCCTATAGCATTCACTCACTCACTCACTCACTCGCTCACTAGCATATTCGCTCACTCACGCACTGCCTCACCCACACTGCACATACCAGAACACTCACAAACTAGCACTCACTCATACCCCCCACCCTTCACATACATACTCGAGCTTTCCTTCACTCCCTTACTCTCACGGCACATAAGCAGAAAAAAAAGTGCTTGTATTCCCGTGCAGAAAGTGTACTGTCCACCTACTGTTTACCTCATAGTATACTGTACACAAAGTGGGCACAATACACAAAAGTGAACTTTTTGAGTATACTGTCTGTTATGTGGTATGTATTTTGTCCAGTGCAAGAACAAGAACTGGTGGTTCACAAAAGTGTATTGTGTGGGTTTTTGTGTAAACAGTGCACAAGGGCGCTCAACGCATAAGTACAAAAAAAAAAAAAAAACGCAGTAGCTGTACTGTGCACATTTTCGTGCACTGTGCTGTTTTTTTGTGTTGTATCCAGCGCAAGGTGCGGCACAGATGTGCACAGATGTTCGGTGCTGCGCAATCACATGTGCAGCATCAAAGATACTGCACATGTGAGAGCACAGAACCGAACAAAAAGATCGCGTTCCTTTTGTGTACTGTGCTCTGTTTTGTGTAGTGTCCAGTGCGAATGGAGGTACAGCACATAGAAAAAAAGTTTACTGTGTTCGTTTCGTGCACACAGTGGGCGAAAACGTTTTACTCACAGGTACACCATGCGCAATTATATAGCATGTACATTTTCTATACTGCGCCTGTTCTGTGTTGTGTACCGTTTCCAGCGCAAGCAGATAAAACGGCTGTACATACAAGTACACCGTGCACAATTATGTAGCATATAATTTCTACACTGTGGCTGTTCTGTTTTATGTCCACTGTGTCCAGCGCAAGAACAGACACTGCAAGTACACAAGTCTTTTACATAGAAGTACACCGTGCGCATTTATATAGCATGTACCTTTTTTTTATATACTGCGTCTGTTCTGTTTTACGTACTGTGTCCAGTGCAAGAACGGACACTGTAAGTACATAAAACGGCTGTACATACAAGCACACCATGCGCAAATATATAGCAGGTACCTTTGCTATACTCTGTCTGTTCTGTTTTATGCCCCGTGTCCAGCGCAAAAACGGAAACTGCAAGTAAAGTGCTGTACATAAGTGTACACCGTGTATAGCATGCATCTTCTCTATACTGTGTCTGTTCTGTTTTATGTACCATGTCCAGCGGAAGAACGGACAGTTCAATTTAAAATGTTGTACATACATGTACACCGTGTATAGTATGTACCTTTTTTTTTCGTTTTATGTACCGTGTCCAGTGCAAAAACAGTCGCTGCAGGTACACAAAAGTGCACTGCGTACGTTTTGTTTACTGCGTATATTTTTTAATCCAATATAAAAAAAAATCAAGCAATACCCACTAGCCCAGTTTCATGATATCAGTATAATGTCCATGGAGGCAACAGTCGGCGCAATTTATACAAGAGGACGACTTGCCACAAGCTTGCTGAGGGATAACGAAACATTCCGGATAATAAGAGTGTCAGAAGCGCATTTCTTGACACACTCGTCCCAACCATGTAGATGTTCAAGTATGCTGCCCTTACAACAACAAAAAAAGTACAGTGTGAAATCGTTGATCCCTTTTGGAAAATGAGAAGGATTATAGAGAATTACAGAGTCTGGTCTCGCATTCCTTGGGTGCGCATGCTATTTTCGACATTGCGAAACATGAAAGTTAGCATATGACGTATGCGCAGTCACGACAGCTCAAAAGAACTGCTTATGCAAGGCTTCAAACACACTCTATTCTAAAGCTGTCTAACATCTGACGTGTCGCACTAATGTTAGAACATCTTCTGACTCAAAATGAAGCGCAATATTATTAAATACGAGACGGAGCCTATGAGACACAACAAGTGTGTGATTGATGCGGTGCATTGTGCAGAAATCAAGTGTTACGCCCACACTGTAGTTGAGTGGACATTGTGCTCTGTAAAATGGAGCGTTTTTTTTATCAAAATACTGTAACATTGCACTCAGTGTATAATTTTGTATTTAGCTGAAAAGTGTACAATGGAGTCCAATATATTTGACACTATAGGCGTTCACGATACTAAAAACAAGAAAAACAAACAACAAAACATGAATGCGAAAGCACGCTATATTTCGACACCCACAATTATATAGGTACCGAAACTCGAGATATGTATACGAGCAATCCTGAAGTTTTTCATACTGCGGACTGCTATGACCCGATACTATTGGAGCGGTTGGTAACATCAAACTGCTGGTCGGCTATCTTCGTGCAACTGAAGGGTTGCACAAGCAAAGGGGAATGAAAGAGCGGGGAAAAAAAAAAGCTATGAACCAGTGGTTCATAAATTAAGCCACCCGTATAACAATACAAGTAATACTTGATACAAGATGTTCAGACGGGAGGCCACTCACTGTCCGATTGAAAAGTCTCCTTTTTTTCTTTTGATTTCAGTTGTACAAGGAATCCTCCCAAATGGTGCAAAATAAAGTGTGTCGTGTCACGCTTATGCGTGTTCACTAGTGATACCGCAATTATTTCTTGTAACTGTTGAAGATGTCAGAGATAGCGTCTGGCGAAATCGAGCGGAAAAGACGACTGTCTAATTTTATTTACGTTATGTGTAGCAATAGCCACTTCAAGGGCTTGATGATTGCTGTCATAATGTGTCATCGGGCAGCAACTTCGAAACTTTCGGTAAGGCTGAACGGTAAGCCTGCACAT